GATTTAAAGATACCTAGTTGAGGTAAAAAATGGTGTACAATTTATTCTTCTTTTCTTACTTCATAAAGAAATATTTAGAAGAAAAATGCATACTGACTTTTTGCAAAATTTCGGCAAGATGAATATTATTAAAAATAACACTCCCCAGTTTCAAGGCGATGCTTTTGTTATACCTATATTTGGCAAATTTCAAAAGAGAGCGGATATGAACTATAAGTGAAGTTAACTCAAAAATGTTTTTAATTTTGAAAATTTTGATTAGAGTAAATAATTTTATTCGCCTATTGATTGCTCAAGAGAACTCGATTAGGGCGCCACAGTCGAAAATTGGGAGTTTTTTTTTGGCACAAAAAGGGAACTATAAAAATTAGTTCATGAAAACGATATCAACAACGATTTTGCATCAAGTTAATACTGAAGTCAAGGTTTTGAGATCAGATCGGTCAACTTTGCTGACTTGTCGTAAGCAACTTAAGCATAATCCGTCATCATCACATGTTACACTTCATTAGGTGTCACCTTTGCCACGTAACGGCCTAACGAATCTCTTCATCCTAACCACTCAGCTAATCTTTGAAACCTTCGAGATAAATTCCATTGGCTTCATTATTTGTCCCACCACTTTTGTGTTTGGCTCAGATTTCACGGTCAACTTCTCACTGTGACTTCTGGTCGCAATCCTAAGGGCTTCGCACGGGTGTTGCGTGGGCCACTTGGAGGAGGGAAAATGAGAGCAAAGAAATCAAAATTTTTTTGTTCCTGTAGAATAAACAGCTACTGGAAGAGAAGTCACCTGGAGCGGAATAGTTGATCACGGCAGCAGATAGTCACATACTTGTCGACAGCTATGGCTAGCATATGAAATGTAGAGATAGTACAGAGTATACAGAGAATAAGATGAACAAAAAGACATCCGTAAAAGGTTTGAGGTCGTCGAGTTAATACCGATACTATAGTAACTGGAATGCCTAGACATCCTGCAAAAAAAGAATTTATCCATTTTTAACTTTTAGAAACTTTTACTCGAATTTTACCTACCAGCTAAGAAATCTGTAAGCGCCAATGAGAATATGTAGGTGTTCGTAACGGTTCTAACATCTTTTTTTCGGATGTAGACATAAAGTACAAGTAGATTTGACAGAGAGATATGAATAGAAAGCAGAAATTCGGCCACTGCGTAGACGAGCAGGTAGTCCATATGGCTGCTTTAGACGACGGCCACGCCTTCTCGATCCTCAACGCAAAAATGAACGTGGGCTTCTGCCTTGCACACTATCATGGTGCTCTCGCTTTTTATGATGAACTGAAGTGAAAATCATAAATAAGAAGAAAAACGTATAATGAATTACGAATATTCAATGAGCATTATGGTGGCTAATGATGAGTGTTTGCTGAGATTCGCTCAACGAAGAAATCTTGCAGCTCTGCTTGCAAGGTACTGCTAACACAAAAAAAAGAGGACGTAAGCTTTTTTGTAGGAACGATAATGTTTTTATGAGTTGAAGAGCATGGTGTGGAGGGAAGTATTATCTTTGTAAAAATAAGGGAAAAATATCCTATATTCGCTTTCTCTTTTGAAAATGCGATATAAAGTCAGTAAGTTTCAATATGAGCAAACAACAAGTGGAAGAAAAAGTGTGCAGTGTGAGAGTTTAAAGAGAAGTCGGATGTTCACATTTTATCCACCTCGCTGCTATTGGTACAAATCAGATGAATATTAAATTACTCGCAAATGCCATACATAGCTAATGCAGAATTTGGAAACATCAATTTAGAAATCAGTTCTTTTCTCTATGCTTATAAGCTTACTATAGAGAGGTTTGCCTGTCAGTAAAAGAGTTGATTTATCTAAGTTCAATCTAGTAATGAATGTTAATTCCTGAGTGATTCGGCTGATTTGCGAAACATT